TGAGTGTGTGTGTGTGAGTGAGTGTGTGAGTGTATGTTGTGTGTGAGTGTGTGAGTGTGTTGTGTGTGTGAGTGTGTGAGTGAGTGCGTGTGTGAGTGTGTGTGTGTTTGTGTGAGTGTGTGTGTGTACAGCAGTCGTGCCTCTGTGTATGTGAAACTGTTTTATTGCTCTTTTACCGTTGCCATGGCATTTATCTTCCTCAAATTCAAAGCACACGTAACATTCTGTCCGATCATCCAATCAGGAGCCCTCTTACCTATCATTAGTGAATGTAACGCCCATATTTACGTCTTTAACGCTGCTGCCTCAAGGACGCTCTTTTAGTGATGAGATTCATTTTTGGGCCTTTTTGAAATATGCAAGAACAGAGATTGTATTTGTACAGTATTCGTTTTATTTCCGGCCAACAGGTGAAGAGGTTTTGATGGTAAGAACAATTAATTTTAGCGCATATTTAGTTCGAAATCGAAATCTCGCATTCCAGCTCCACACTAACATGGAGATTTATGATAAATGTGTCTCCTTTTGTGATTTAAGGACCATATTGATGCTTTTTGTATTCAAAATATACAATTTGATAATCTTGAGATATAAATAATCCAGTGAGAAAGTATTAGAATCTTCGTCAGTGTTCATTTAGAAATGATCCAAAACAAAACTGAATCATTAAAGGAAAGATTCACTTACAAACACACTCAATTTAGGATATCAATCAATGTATCAATCAATTCTAAACTTTTTAGAGTGATAATTGTAACTAAAAATAATCCAAATTTGGATTTTTACTAGTCAAATTGCTGTTTTAACCCAGTTGTTGTGGTTTAGGGAGGTTTGTGCCGTTTAAAATGCTCAGTTAGTCTTTTTGTACCCGGTTTTAAATCTTGGTGCTTAAATGAATCACTGTGTGCTTTTGCTGGACGTTTAACTTCAGATTTAATTCGTTTTTCCTTTTAAAGGCCTTACACCAGTTAATCTTGTTCTTGTTAGAAATCCCAAAGAACATTCCACACAAAAAAGGTGTTTTTGTGGAGTTGAATCATTTACAATCCTTCTAGTAATGATTCATTTAGAATAAAAAAAGAGGGTATATTTTAGACGCCTCTTATTTAGGAGATTTCTGTACTCTGCATGCATGCAGTCGATTCACACAGAGCTGAAGAACTGATTCGGTGTCTTTCACTACACAAACGTCACTACTGTTCACTTCATTATATGTGAAGCTAAGAGAATCAAATATAAGGAAATACTTTATAGGGCACTACATCCAGACCTGCTTGAATCTTTAATTCAGTTTGATAAGAGCAGCTCAGATCAGTGAGTAAATCATTAGTTAACTGGATAAATTTGGTTAACTGAAGGGAGGTTTGCATAAACGCTTTGCTAATGCCGGTAGACCGAGACATAGAGCTTCACATGCAGCGTATGCTTATGTTTAATATCCACGTCTGTATTTATTTGACACTACGGCTGTATATATATATATGACCTGGTTTTGTTCACGTTCACCTGTGTAGAATTTGCTCTAGATAAACCAAACCTGAGTTTTCCAGTTCTGTGTCTGCGTGAGCTTTACTTGCACTGGATATGATAAGAATGATTTCTGATTATGCAGCGGCTTGTGATCTGTTCTTTAAATATTCATCCATGTGTTGATATTATTGATGGTGATTCACTGCTGGTTTAATGCTGACGTCTCAGCGTTTTCTCATTCAGATCTGTCGACGTTCTCTTTTATCACGTCAGTCCTGGATTGTGATGGAGAGAAATGCAATGTTTTTAATTGCAGGATGTTTCGTCAGAGCAGGAAACTTCGGTAGAATAATATAAGTCATTAATGGCCAAATAATGATTTATTTGCTATATATGCATAATAATAATAATAGGAAAGAATAGAAATAGAATAAGGTGTCATTTTTTTCAATCTGAAGGTTTAACTTAAATCATCTGATGTTTTAATTTTAAAGGCTGAATTTTAAGAACAGGGCCAAATCATATTTTACCCCAAAATCTAAATAAATAAATTAACAAATAAAGCCTGTTTTAAGCCATTAACAATTTGTGAAGTCATCGTGATGAACACTTTTAAACCTTAAATGATCAATATCCTTGATTTTTTTTTTTTGCATTACACGCATTCGAATGATGCATTTAAATATCTTGAATATGTTAACTTACATCAATATCCTTGAATAATTTACTTTTGCATTTTGCAAATTTGAAATGGAGAATTTGATCTTAAGTATGTTAAATGATCAATAAAAAGCTTAATTTGAGAATTGGATCTGCAATATGTTTGATTGTCATGAAAATAATGTCACAATGCCAAAAAATGTGGTCCTGAAACTAGACATGTGCCGGTATTCGGTAATGCGATTATATCACGGTAATTAATATGCACAATATTGTTATCGTGGGCTCTTCTAAATACCGTAACTTTTAACTTTGTACATTTTTCTGTATTGCTTTATTGCATTTAAATGTTCAGTTATTTTTGTTATAAGAAAAAAGTTATTAAACCTGTTACACTGTATTATGACAGCACTTTTTTTTTAAACTAAATGTCAATATCGTGATAATACCGTATACCGTGATAAAAGCATTAGCAATTAATCGCAACATGAAAATTTGATACCGGCATATCCCCTACCTGAAACAGAAGTAACATTTTCCCAGTTGAATATAACCTGAATGTGTTAAAAGGCTTTGTGAGACTCTCAGAAAGTCTCTCTCTGGCTCTGCTTCTCTCTGTCCGTCCGGCTGAAGGTCGTGTGTCAGTAATGAGATGCTCTTTCATCTGTCACTCTGATGTCTGAAGACTCGCTGGACTTTCACTCCGGACCTTCACAAGTTTCAGTCTTTGTAGTCGTTACTGCACCATCATTCTGTGCTTTTCTATCTTGATATGTACTTTTAATGGATTTATTGTTTTATAAGAGGTGACATTAAATCCATTATTAACTTTTGGTACATTTTATATCTGGAGATTTATTAACTTTTTAAGGTAATCTCACTTCTGTGTCCCACCAGCAGGTGGCGATAAAACAAAGCTGAAGCTCTTGAAGGAAGACTAGCATACTGCATACTATATACTGAGCGTTCATGACTTTTCATTTGGATTTAACAGATGAGGTTTTTTTTTATCATTTATAGGGATTTCTAGAGAAAGAGTTTTATGTAATTACACTGAAAAAATATTTACTGTTAAATAATTTCACTGCTAGTGAAAATTCACAAATAATTACAAAGAAATGGCAAGTAACATTTAATTAAATGTGAGATTTTGAAGTAGAAATACAGTGTTTTATAGAAAGAAATAGCATTTTCTTGCAAAACGTACTCCAGTAATCTGTTTTATTTACTTTTTTACAGTGCACACATTTTTACTCAATATAATATTCTGTTTCTAATTTTTTTTCATTTCCATGATTTTTTCCATGAGTTCTAGTTTTACATGAACGTGGGAACCCTGCATACTGCATACTGTTTACTATGTTTAAGTATGTGAAACAGCAGTAGCCGATGTCGTTTTAAATATTTCAAACTGTATCTTTTTTTATTGCAAAGAAGAAACAGCACTGCATTTGAAATACATAAAACATAAAAGGAAAGAAGAAAAAGTACAAAGAGGTAAACAAAGGAGACCTCTGAAAGAAAGGTAAGATCAAAATTTGGTTTAAATGGGTTTAAGAGATTTTACAGTGTTGGAATTTTCAGCAAGAAAGACATCCAATCTAGGCAAGGTGTTGAAAAATGTGTTCATATTTTCAATGCAAAACAAATAAATTAATTTCGTTGGCGTCACATGACGTCATCAGGTCACGCATAAATTTTAATGCACCAAGTGGCGTGCAATTATTATCTTAAAAATAGGTTTGTAATCTAAATTTGTAGATAAACGGTCTTAGCTTTTGTATGAGTCAAACAAGAAATCATTGTGGCACACAGTGTCACATTTTGTCAAATAGTAGATGACTCATTGCATATTGCAAAAAGTGTGATGCAAGTCTCCGCTTTCAAATTTTGTCATTTTTTAAGAAATACAAACAATAAAAACCGTTTTGTGGCTCTTTAATGTGTCGAGACGGATCGCTGTAGCGCCTCAGTTCAAGCGGCACGTGAACGGATCATCTGTTCCTCTTTACTAGTTATAGCACGAAATAAACATGAGTGAACATCTGGGGCCCGTTTCAAGAAGGAGGTTCAACCAACTCTGAGTTGACTTACCCTGAGATGGGTGAGTTTTCGGGTTCAGAACAGCTGAATTGAGTTAGTTCAATCCACTCGGAGTAGGTTGACTGAGTTTAGTCAAAGTCCCTTTAAGGCAAGTCATGTCAAGCTTAAGATTAAATTTCATATTTAAAATCACCAATGAAATCTGACAACAACGGTCTCATAAATGTTGTTTCTTTTGCTGAAATAGCGTTAAGAAAAGCTTATTTTTCAGGCTAGACCAGCCAGTGCGCATGCACAGTCCTAAGGGCACTTCTCAGAACTGACTGTTTCTATAGCAACCGGGAGCTGCAGTGATGCCAGGACTTTACCTATTAGCTATTGGCTCTTTTACTCAGAAGGCG